TCGCAGCGTCAAGCCAGCGTCGAAGTCAATGCGTGAAGTCAGCATCAACGCAAGACAGAATGAATGTCAAAGCCAGGAAGTCAACTCTTATGTAGTGTTGACGCGGGGTCTGGACCCCGGCTGCTGTATCCCTCCGCCGTCCAGATCTCAATGCGAATGAGGGCTCAGATCGGCCTGAAACCGAATTCCCTCCGGCCTGGATGCTGTCTGGGTACCTGCGCACAACAAGTGAGTGTATCCCACCCAGGGCCTGGGTGCGGTACCTTTGACTCTACAGTTGACTTTGACTCTTGAATTTCCTGTGTGCAGAGTGCGGTCACACAGCCACACTCGACAGACTCAGGCCTGGGCGTGTCTTGGTCACACAGCCCACCGCAGACCTTCTCAGGTCTGCGTGGCCTGGGGCTGAGTTCTGAGCCCCAGGCTACTTCTGAACAGGGTTATTACACTATATTCCTCCATGCTGTCGCTCATATCTTTTGAAGGAAGCGGGCCCTGGTCAGGATTGGTACTGTTGTTGTCGTACCATTCCTCCATATCACATTCTGAGCATTCGTCTCTGTAGTACCAGTCCAAATCCAGTGCATATGCTTTGGACTCAAGGTCAAAATCCCCAGAAAGTGTGCCCTGCTTGATGATGCCAACCATAGCAGCGCATATGCGGCTTTCTTTTACTTTTTTTTAATAAAAAAAAAGAGCAACAGCCTTGAGATATGATCGTGAAACTGAGCATATCGCTAGCATTCATTCTGAGCCAGCATCAAACTCTATTTTTTAATTATGGCTTCATTTCTGGAATGTAGGATTTGAACCAGGATTTTGGTTGATCCAGTTCCATCTGGATTCCAACTCAGGTCTGCATTTCAACACTAACTGAGCTAAGCCTGTTGGTATGGGAGGCTTTTCTTGCACAAATCCAGGTACGAGTCGTACTTCGGTTTCGAATGTGGAGGTGGAGCTCCGCATGCTGGGCCGGGTGTGAGGCTCATAGGTGTCCTTCTTTTCGTTGTATTGCCTTGGGCATGTGGAGTCCTTTTCGTAAAGGCCCACTACCTTTGTCATACATCAGCTGCGGGTGAGGCCCCACGAGTTCTGGCAGCCAGTAACGCAACAAAGGCTGCCGATGAAATTTATCAATGGCGGCCCATAGATGGCTCGGTCCCCGAAAAATGTGGTATAGGTTATATCCCCACTTGGGACTAGCCTGAAAGGTAGTGGTGGTTAGAAAAAAAGGGAAGAAAATGATACGCGGGTTCCAGGTGATACTTGTGTAAGGTGGTATAGTCCTCACCGCTAAAAGTTCAGATCGGTTGGAGCAGGAGATAGCCATGAGGTGACCCTGATGTTTTAGCCCTGCCCCGGACACCACACATCCTCATAATGGCTGCACCAGACCGGAACGACGGCTTGTATACATTCGTTATCACATGCGTTGAGTTCGGGGGGAAGACGGCAGTGAGGAGCAACATGTGGCAACCGGGATCAGTGTCCCAACAGCATTACAAAGCATGAGGCATGACATCTTGAGCCACGGCAAAACAGCTTTCTGGTAGTTCTACAGGTATCTATGCTCAGCAAGAAGTTGTTGTCCTGTATGGCAGTGTCGTTGCCTACCTAGGTCTCTGAATCGTGTATTGGTTGCGGCATAGTAGCAGTGCAAACACTAAAACTTGAAAGCAAATATCCATTTACTAGGCTAACAACAGTGGGTACAGTCGACAAAGGACTAGAATCATACCGTGTGGTTCAGCCGGTGGTGGTAAGGCTTCTTCGAATGGAGGACCTTCCTCTCCACCCAGAGGAATTCCCAATTCCCCTTCTGGAGCCAGTGGTGTCGATCCGTCTTCTGTCCATGGTGGAGGTGGTGGAGTCTGTGGGGGCTTAACAGGTACTGGAGAAGGTGGCGGAACTCGTGCAATTGGGGGTGCTGACTGGGAAGAAGGTGGTGGCGACTGGGAAGAAGGTGGCGGCAACCGAGAAGCAGGTGGTGGGGTCCGAAAAGCAGGCGGTGGGGTCCGAGAAGCAGGCGGCGAAGCCTGAGAAGCAGGCGGAGGGGGCAGAGAAGCGGGTGGCGGAGACTGGGTAACTGGGAGTGGAGATTGGGAAACCAAGGGTGGTGTCGACGGGGTGGCAACAGTGAATTGAACAGGGGTCTGCCTTGGGGGTGGAGGTCGTGGTGCAGGTGGTGTCGGCGGTGGCATTGGTGAAGGAGGAGACCCAAGTGCTGCAGCATCACCAGTTATCATCTTCATATCTGTAACTTTCAGTGTCATCCCCGTGGCTGTTGAAAATTCCCCGGTCTCAAGAGCATTCAAAAACATGTTTGCTATGCTTTGCAGGGTGACAATCCCCCCTGCTTCCACTACTTGGGCAGGTGCTGGACTCGGAGACAGAGGAGAGGCCTGTGGAGAAAAGGGAGAGGAGTTTGGAGCTCCACCCACTGTGGGAATCGGCAAATTCACTGCTCCAGGGAAAAGTGCTCCTGCCGGTGGAGGTGGAGGTGGAGGTGCTGCAGAACCAGTATCTTCATTGAGGAAACTGACATCAGCTTCTGCACTTGCATTCACTGGAGGTGATGGGGGAGGTGGTGGAAGTGGGGATGGTTTTATTGTTGGTCCAGGCCATGTCCCGTTTGTCTCCTCAAAAGTGGGTGCAAGGACAATGAGCACGTCTATAGCAGCAGGAGGGTCATTGGTGCTGCTTGTCGTCACCTGAGTTACCGCAGATGTGTTCTTGGCCTCAAGAAATGTGAGTCCACGGTTCCCACCACTACCAGAGGGCAGGAAGCTCTTCTTGCTGCTGGCCTTCGGACTCATGCTCGCTGACATGATGAGCCGGCGCTGTGCTTGCCTAGGGTTCACAACCTTTATTCTTGATATGTCCACCTTCAGAAGCCGAGCAAGGTCCTCCTTAAACCTATTCACTGCCTGGCTCCAAAAAGTCTCGTAGTCCATGAACAGCTTTGCACTTATCTGTCAATGTGCTCGAGGAAGAGCAAGGCAGAGAGGGGCCAAGAACGCAAGTGCATGGAGAGAGAGAGAGAGAGAGAGAGAGAGAGAGAGAGAGAGAGAGAGAGAGAGAGAGAGAGAGAGAGAGAGAGAGAGAGAGAGAGAGAGA